TTTTTAATGATATGGAGCATCTACTTGTGCATTTACCAAATGAGGCTACAGTTAGAGGGCTTATTCAGTATCAGTGGATGTATCCTTTTGAGAGATGTTTAAATAAATTTAAGAAGACTCCTGAGAATAAAGCACATCCTGAAGGCTCAATGTTTGAAGCATATTTAATATATGAGACAACTCAGTTTTGCCCGTATTACTTTAAAATAGTGTCATAATCACTACAGGAAAATCACTTATTACCGGCGGAATTTTCCGGCGGCTTTCCGGCGGTCAATTTTCCGGCGGCTTTCCGGCAGCTTTCCGGCGGTTTTTGACGTCTTATTTCCAACAAAATTTTCCGGCGGCTTTCCGGCGGTTTTCCGACGGCGGGAGCGGGGCAGCGGGTGAGGAGGTCCACGGTTCGAAACTCAGCGAAGGCAGCGCGGGAGCGGGCTCGTTGGCGCACTCGGGCTCGCCTGGCTCACGCGAGCCCGGTCCGACGCGACGCGGTCTGGTCCGGCGCGACCCAAGGCCTGGTGCGACCGCCCGCCGGAGCGGGTGGAGCGGGTTGCTGGCGTGCCGCCGGGGAGCGGTTTCAGCGGGAGCGGGTTCTTTTTTTTTTTATTTCAACAGGCGGTTTTTGACCGCCGGCAAACCGCCTGATTTATTTGCCGCCGGAAAAAGCCGTCGGAAATTATTTTCCTACGCCGTTTTTTCCGGCGGCACGAAAGCCGCCGGAAAACCGCCGACAAATTAAAAAACCGCCGGAAATTGGTCAAATTCCGCCGGAAAAAGCCGCCGGAAGTGGGTGATTTTCCTGTAGTGAATCAAGTATGAGTACTTCACCTCAAAAAGCGAAGAAATCCTTAAATTTATTTGTATTTAACGGTAGTGGTGAACTCGCGATGCTAGCACCGTGTGTTATTTAACTGATAAGAAGATGAGAGTTATCACATTGTATGTCTTATTTAACTATGATGAAGTTGAGTCATATCTCGAGTAAGTATGACTGGGAATTAGTTTAAAAATATGGTATATATTTCAAATATTCATTTCAACTAATTTGTCTTTAATTATTTAACATTATGGTCAATAAACATGCTAATAATATACTTTACATATTAATTAGGTGCATACTCAAGGCATTAATTTGCAATATTATAGGCTACTTCATCTAGCTTGGGGATCAAATAGAGTAGTGAAATGTTATCCAATTTTTTTTAGTTAATAAATTTTTGTGTGAATGTAGGAACACAGATAATTCTGATGTATATATAAGAGGGAACATCCATATATGTGATGATTCTGAGTACTACAGGATATTACAAGAAATATTATAGTTGAAATATCCTAGTCATACGAATAATGTGTATTTATTCAATTGTGACTGGTTTGATCTAGTACAGAACATAGGTACAAGAATATGTTCGCTTTATTATAAAATAAAAGTTAAGTGGGTTATGAGATATTCAAAGTTTGGCTCATTCATCCTTGCTAGCCAAGTAAGCCAAGTCTATTTTACTAATTATCTGATTGAGTAGATTATGTGGCAAATAAGATTAACTCATAGTTATGAAGACCAAACATATGGGAGTAATTGAGAAAACCACATCCAAAGAATCACCACATAAAGAAGAATTTATGTCAAACTTAAAAGATCTTGCTAACAATGTGAACAATCAAATAGGAACTACTGAGAGTGAGTTACAATTAAATGAAGTAGATTTAAACATAGAGAAAAATTATGATGAATCTAATAGTGGTGCAGTTGTTTATCATATGAAAGTGAATCAATATATGGTTTATAATTTTTAATAATCAATTATGAATCAATTATTTATATTAATAATATGATTTATTTAAATAACATAATAATAATTAGTTTGTTTATTTTATTGTTGCTCTACTTTATTTATTTAATTATTATACTATTTTATATTAAATTTTTTATATAATTTATGTTGCTAATATTTCTTAATTTTTTTACAGGTGACTTTAGGTGATGAGAGTCATAGAGGATTGATAAAAAATATATTTTTTGTAGATGCAATAAGGAGGACTAGTGGCCCACCCAACATGTATGTACATACTAAGGGCACCTCTTCATCTCAACCTACCATCAAGAGTCAGCCTAGCTCACCATCAGGAGTTAGCCTAGCTCGTATTTTCCTACTTCTATAGCCAATAGCTCACAATTCTACTCACCATACCCTCGCTTTCCTTCGCTAGAAGTCATGTAGAGTATCCCTTCTACCCTTACTGCCCACCCCACCTTCTCATGGTGGCCCTTCGACTTATCCATCTCCACCATATGGCTCGCCATACTATTCCCTACCACACCCTCAGCCCGCTATAGGTGGACCTTCCACCACATGTGTAGCATAGCAGGCGACGGAGGGTCGTATGTTAATTGAACTTGACAATGACATGTGCGTACTTATTATATTGTTAACATGCAACTAAATTTGAATCAATATTTTTCTCATCTAACATATTTTTTGCAGTTTTCACCCGTCAAAATAATCAACGTATAAAATACAGGACATAATACGGAGCATGTATGATGCTCCTTATATTTCTTGGAAGAATGTTCCAAAAGAAGTGTAGGACATGTGATTTAGAGAGTTTGAGGTTAGTTATTATACAAATATGTTTTTTATTATATCTTTTTTATTTAAGCAAGCAAAAATATATATTCTATATTATATGTTTTTAAGTGCAGAAATATTTTTGTTGGTTACCCCAGCATAATGATAAAATTAGAAAGAATTTAAGAAGCATGGATCGACTCGCATGCGAGACATATTTACAGACATTAGAAAGTCAGGCGAACAACCACTCTGGATTGATGAGAGTGTATGGGCTAAACAGTGCTTGGGGTAACCCAGAGTATAACAAGATGAGGGACCAAAATAGACATAATATAGCTTCTAAAGTTGGGGGCATGGGTAGTTCCCTTCATATTGGAGGTTCAGTTTCACATACTGAGCAAAAGCAATGTTTGAAAAGGAATTTTATAAGATTTAATAATTTATTTTAATATGAATACTAATATAAGTTTATTACATAAAGAGATGTTGGGTAGAGAACCGACCCCTGTTGAATTGTGTCGTCATACCCACAAGCGGCAAGAGAACAAGCAATGAGTTGATTAGCGAGTGAGGAAAGCCTACGTAAGTTTAAAAGTTTAATATTTTTTATATAATGTCTAAATTGATTATATTTTTATTAACTTTTATAGGAGTATATACGGCTTTGAGAGAAACAGGCTGTAGTAGGTGAGGGCTCTTTTGGTAGATTAGCAAAATATTCTAACTAATGCACTTGGTCATAAATGGTAGGAGGAATGCAGCACGATAGGGTTTATAGTTTAGGCTTGTAAGTTTATGCATACGAGGGGCAGACATCTTGTGGCTCTAGCTTCTCAATAAGTACCCAATAATCCTTATATAACCAACATGAAGTTGTCCTTATAGCCGATCTAGAGCAGATTATGAAAGCTCAAGCTGACTAACAGATGCAGACGCAACAAACTCAGCTGTTGGATGAAATGCAAAAAATGAGGGAGCAGTTCAGTGGAAAGAATGCAGCTTCAGTAGAGGAGGAGACTAATTCATATTAGATGTTGTGTAGTTTTTTCTAGACATGTGTACTTATTTGGTTTTTGACATTTATACTTATTTGTTTTATGGACAACTGCACTTATTTATTTTTAGATATTTGTATAGTTTTAGGACATTTTATTTAGGTTTATATGTTTATGTTCAATATATGGTGACATTTTTTATTAGATGTGTATGTTTGAAACTTTTATATGTAGGTTGTATTGTAGATTCAATTTTCAATGAGGGATTATTGTTTTTTATGCTACAGGTGTCCGACGGATTATCTGTCAGAAATCCACTAGTAATACGATACGATGAAATGACATTGGTGTTTCCGACGAATTATGCACGGGTTCTATCCGTCGATAGTAGTATGGTGGATCATGGTGCGGTGGATTATTCGCCGGTACTTTCGACGCAATATTTTTGTCGGAAATATCGGCGGATTAAACACCGGAATTCGTCAATGGAACTCGACATAAACCCTTCATTTTTTTTTCACCGAAATTGCGCCGAAAAATCTGCCAGAAATGTTTCCAGTGAAAATATTTCGCCGGTTTAGATTTTTTGATGCGCAAATTAACATCGAATGGATTTTCATCGAAAATTCGTCGGAAAATAAAAATTTTCGGCGGATTTTCATTGTTACCGCTGGATTTGGTCCGCTAGTAACAAGGCATTTTCCCGTTGTGTCCAGATTTTACTCCACCTTATCTAGGAGATGCTAAACTTTTTTTTTTTATTTATCTAACTAATATTTCATTTAGGGCGACTTTCTTAATGCTATATAAAATATCTTTTTAGTAGAAAAATTTCTAGATCAAAAAATTTTTGAAAACAGTACAAACATTGTCCCAAATGAAGCCTAAAAGTCTTTATCATTTATGTTGTGTTCATGTACAATATAAAAATGATAAAAATGGATTTAATTTAAACTAATGATTAAAATGTCTTTATTTACTAGTTAGTATATTTTTTTCTTTTTATTTTTTTATACATCACTAGGCATCTATGAAATTTATACTATTAAAATTAACTTATTTTAATATTTGTGGATATAAGTAATTTAAATATGAAAATAATTTGCACATAAATAAATATAAAATTTAATTATTATATATCATAATACATAATTTTTTTATAATATATATGTTAATATTTTTTAAATATAGTTATTTGATTTGTAATCATATAGGTTTTTTCCTTCAAGACAACACTAAAGTTAAGCAAAAATAAATTCAAAATATAATAAATAAATAAGCTGATACAAAATAATAAAAAAATATCATATTGCTATAACCTTAATCAACATAAGTCCCTCCATAAATATACTTTAAAAAGAAATCAGATCTATCTAACACCAAATCCAACCCTCTCACAATTTCCCCTCCCCCAAAATTCAAACTTTCAACGGTCAACATTCAAATCCTAACCCCAATACCCGTCCTATTCCAACCTCTTCCGCGTTTTCCCCATTTCTTAAATCTATCTTCTTCCACTTCTTCTCGTTACCTCCATTGATCCACAGCACACAACTTCATCTTCCTCCTATGGCCCTGAGAGCATTCAAAGCCACGGCGATGTTCCCCTTCCGCCGTCGAGCCAAACCCTCCCTCTCGTCACTCTCCATCCCCTCCCATTTCATCTGCCCTATCTCACTCGATCTTATGCAAGACCCCGTCACTCTTCCCTCCGGCATCACTTATGATCGACGCACCATCGAACTCTGGTTCTCCTCCGGCCACCGCACTTGCCCTGTCACCCTCCTTTCTGTCGAGCTTGACGACCAACTCCTCATCCCCAACCACTCCATCCGGCGCATGATCCAAGACTGGTGCGTTGCCAACCGCTCCCATGGCGTCGAGCGCATCCCTACGCCAAAGACCCCCATCACGTCCCTCCAGGTCTCCGACACGCTTGCGGAGATTTCCGCTGCTTGCCGGAGCGGCGACCGCCTCCTCTGCGCCGAACTGATCGCATTGCTGAAGAAAAGCGCTGAAGAAAGCGAAAGAAACCTGCGCTGCATTTTATCGAACGGCGCCACGCCAGTACTAGCGGCCGCCTTCCTCCGCTTTAAAACAGAGAATTTCCTCTCAGCTTTCGCCGGAATATCAAATCCAGATGATAAAGAAACCATCTTGCAGCTCACTTCCGACGAATCTTTAAAATCCATTATCCTCATCTTAAGCCAAGGATCCCTTTCGGGGAAGCACAACGCTATTCTGGTGCTGAAGGAGCTGCTCGTAGCTGTTCATGAAACAGAGCAAGCAATCACAGTTGCTAGAACTGAACAATTGGTTGAAAAAGTCGTGATGCTGATAAAGAATCCGATATCTTTAGAATCCACCAAAGCATCTCTCGTTGCAGCCTATTACTTATCCTTCACCCAGGCGACGAAGCTCGCTGAAACAGGGCTCGTTCCTATTCTGCTGGAGATCCTTGTTGATGCCGAGAAGAGCTTGTCGGAAAAAGCATTGGCGGCGCTTGATGGAGTTCTGGAGGAAGCGAAGGGGAGGGAGAGTGCGGCGGAGCACGCCCTTGCGATGCCGGTGCTTGTGAAGAAGGTATTTAGAGTGTCCGATTTGGCGACGGAGTTTGCGGTGTCAGGAATGTGGAAGATGTGTAGGAAGTGGGGAGAAGGGGAGGAAGGAAGGCCGGAGAAGTGTGCGGTTGAGGCGTTGAAGTTCGGAGCTTTTCAGAAGCTATTGCTGCTTTTGCAGGTTGGTTGCAGCGATAGAGTGAAGGACAAGGCGAGTGAGTTGTTGAGGATTTTGAATGGATTGGAAGGGAAGGAAGAGTGTGTTGAGACTTTAGATTTCAGAGGGGTTAAACGGGCCCTCTGATTCAAAAAAAAAAAATTGTAAATTTAAAAGGAACTCAAGAATTTTTAGCTTCCCGTTCATATTATTATCATATATACCCAAATTTGAGGATTCTTGAACATATTCTGATACAAATTATATCAGAAAATCCTGAAATAATATTTTTTCCTCTGAAAAAAAAAACAGTTTTGGTTCAGAATTTTTCTCAGCGTATTCAGATTGACAGTTTTTTTTAAGGACTTGTGATATAAGCTCATGTGGAAAAAATTCAAATTTTGCAAGCAGATTAGAGATCTATGAAATAAAAATTCTGGAAACACTAACAGAACATGAATGACTGTATATTTTGCTGGATAATATTGAAGATAATTTTCCAAAATAACTTTATTCTTTTGCAAAACTTAAAAATTGTTTCATGAAATATAAAGAAATGAATGGCTCATGAAATAATGATGTGATAGAGGAAAATTATTTGGAGAAATTTAAATCTGTTTGAATAAATGGCAAAATAGACAGAAATTTGGTTGGAGCAATTAAATACATAGACCGAATGGTATGACTTAATTTTGAAAATTCATGCCTAGAAAGAATTTTTGGTGGAAAAATTAAATTCATAAAAGTAAGATTAAGAAAGACTGTAGTAGGCGCGAAGGTCAGAAGGAGGCGGTCGCCACTCCGGCAAGCAGCGGAGATCCGTTTGAGATGGTTGTAACTATTTAAACTTTTTGTAAAGCTAATTGTAAAGTTATTGTGAAGAAAACAACTTTTTTTACAGTTATTATAAAAAATAACTTCCTAACATGAAAGCAACAAAAAATCAATGGCAAAACAAAAACTGTGGTTTTGATCTAGAAAATAAAATAGCAAGAAGCATGTCTGAAACGAAGCCTTAAACTCTTTATAATTGTTGTGTGCTGCAATATTCGCGGCGATAGAGAAATATAAAATATAACTTCATAGTTTTGTATGAAGATCCAACACACAAGAAGATAAAAGAAATGGTGTAGCATTCATAAGAGACACCATAGATTTTATGTGGAAACCCCTAAAAAGGGGGAAAAACTATGGGGCATTGCCGAGATTGAATGAATCCACTAGTATTTGCAGTCAATTACAAATGAGACCCTTCATTAGAGCAAAGGCCTTGACTTCATATAATAGATATACATCACATAGAATGCATTGCATGGTAGAAATTGGAAGAATCAGTATTGATAATTTTGTTTAGTCGGTAGGACCATAATTGACAGACGACGGAGGTTGGAAGGATCATAGTCAGTAGGAGACAAGGGTCAGAAAGACCGTTATATAGCGGTGGAGGTCGGAAGGACCATAGTAGGCGACAGAATCGGAAGGACCGTAGTCGGCAGGAGACAAGGGTTAGAAAGAACGTTGTTTGATGATGGATGTCGAAAGGACTGAAGTAGGCGACGGAGGTTGGAAGGATCGTAGTCAGCAGGAGATAGGGGTCAAAAAGACTGATGTCTAGCGGTGGTGGTCAGAAGGACCGTAGTAGGTGACGGGGTCAGAAGGACTGTAGTCGACAGGAGATAGGGATCAAAAAGACTGTGGTCTGGCAGTGGAAGTCAGAAGGATCGTAATAGGTGACGGAGGTCGGAAGGATCGTAGTCGCAGGACACAAGGGTCAGAAAGACTGTTATCTAGAGGTGGTGGTCCGAAAAGATCGTAGTAGGCTCGGAGGTCAGAAGGATCGTAGTAGGCAGAAGACATGTTTCAAAAAGACTGTTGTCATACAGTGGAGGTCTGGTGGGAGTCCGGGCATCAAGTGGATGTCCGGTGGAACTCTAGGCGTCAGGTGGTGGTCTGGTGGAACTCCGGGCTTTAAGTGGTGGTCCGGTGGAACTTCGGGCATCAGGTGGTCGTCCAGCAGAACTCTAGCATCATGAGGTGGTCCGACAAAACTCCGAGCATCAGGTGGTGGTCTGGTGGAACTTCGGGCATCAAGTGGTGGTCCGATGGAACTCAGGGCATCAGGTGGTGGTCTAATGAAACTCCGACGTCAAGTGGGGATCTGGCAGAACTCCGAGCATCAGGTCGTCGTCTAGTGGAACTCAGGGAGTTAGGTGGCGATCCACAGAAACATTGACGTCGGGTGATGGTTCGACAGAACGACAGGTGTTAGGTGTTAACCTAGGGTGTTAAGTGGTGGCTCGGTGGAACTTTGGGCGTCAGGTGGTGGTCTGATGGAACTCTCGATGTTAGGTTGTAGTCCGACAAAACAACGGCATCAGGTGGTGGTCTGGCACAACTCCAGGCATTAGGTGGTGGCCTAATGGAACTTTGGGTGTCAGCCTATCAGGTGATGGTCCAATGGAACTCCGGCGTCAGGTGGTGATCCGGCAAAACTTCAATGTTAAGTGGTAATCCGACAGAACTCCAACATCAGGTTGTGGTCCAGTGGAACTCTAGGTATCATGTGGTGGTCCAATGGAACTCCAGCATCAAGTGGTGGTCTAACAAAATTCTGGGAGTCAAGTGGTGATTCGGCGGAACTCTGGGCATTGGGAGGTGGTCTGGTGGAACTCCAGGCATCAGGAGGTGGTTCGCTGTGATTCCATGCGTCAGGTGGTGGTCCGGCGTAGTTTCGATGTCAGGTGGTGTTCTGAAGGAACTCCGAACATCAGGTGGTAGCTTGATCAAACTGTGGTCATCAGGTGGTGGTCTGGCAGAACTCTGGGCATCATGTGGTGGTCCAGCAGAACTCCAGGCGCCAGGTGTTGGTCGAGGAGCTAACATGCAAAAGTGATCTCTGATCTCTCTCTTGCTCTCTTACCTAGGATCCCTTTTCAAGAGGAAGGATGGGTCTATTTATAGATTCCCAAGAGTGGCATGACTCATAAATAAGAGGAAGAGCAAGGGTAAATGGGGAGTGGTTTCGATGGATGACTGATGTTGAATCCCTTGATTATGGACCGTTTGTTGGGGATTTAAATGTCTTAGTGATATCAAATTTAGTGATCTTGGGCTCATTGGATTTGTCTAGTTGAGCTGCTCAATTTGAATATTATCATGTCACATTTGGGAATAGTTTGGTAAAGCAAATTGTGTTTTGAACCTTCTAACAATGCTTCAGGTCCTTGATTTGGACCCATTTGTGCTCTAATTGAGTCAAATTTGGTGTCAATGGATTCGTATTCTCGAGATGTTTAGTTCAACTATAAGTTTGCTAAAATTGGAGTTCAAATAATCCCAAATTTAATTTTGGAAGTTTTCGACTTGATTTTTACTTGAGATTCATGTCCGATTTAGATAATTTTTTGAGGAAGTATCAGTTGCCCCCCTATTTTCGGACGTCGAGGCTACAAAAGTATGAAAATACACATTTTAACTCCTAGAGAAATTTTTGTGCGATTTAAAATTTAAAAATATTTTGATCTTAAGCATAGAGGTCTCGAACGGCCTTGAATGTGTCAAATTAAGTCTGGAATGTCAAAAAATAATCCTGAAGACCCCAAAAATATCTGATTTGACCTTTTTGGGCCAAAATTGGGCCCGAGAATTTGTCAGGATGGAATAGCCTCCATCGGCCGCCGCTGCAGCGCGCCTGCTCGGCCTTCTTGCGTGTTAGCCTATGCACCCCTGCGCAGCGCGCCTGCTGCTGCACCGCTGCTTAGCTTAGACGCGTACCTACCCACACTGTCTGTGGTAGGTTGTGGCCTACATGCTTGTCGGCGTAACTCATGCACCAACCGCTAAGCGGTTAGTTGTAGTTGGTTGCGATTTGCCGACCACGGTTAACCGCCACTTTTCTTCTTCTTCTTCTTCTTCTTCTTCTTCTTCTTCTTCTCTAACTTGTCCTCCTTAATATAAATACCCCCCTAAGGGTATGTAAAAAACTTACTTTCCTCCTCCCTTCTCTTCCTCAAGCTGAGGCATTCCCCTAGTCCTATTCTTATTGTATCCACTATCCAGGTTTAGGGCCCCTCACAGAATAAAAGTCTCCTTTTCCTTTCCTCTTTTCTTCTCCTTAAGCTAAGGCCTTCCCTTAGACCTGTTCAGGAAATATCCCTTATCCAGGTCTAGGTCCCCTTATTGAGTTGAAAGAACCTTTTCCTCCTTCCCCCTTATCTCCCCTCAGTCCTCTTCCTATATGAGAGGCTTTCTTCTATCTTTAGATAAGCGATATACCTTATCTGACTGCAGGGCCCCTCCTTATATAGAGGTCATGATGGAGGATCACCATTCTTCAAAATATCTCACGACCAACACTAATTTGTAGTTTGTTGGCTATCAAGGTAGAAAAGATTGTTGTTAAGAGATAGAGCTCAGAAGGATTGTAGTTAGGTGTCAGAGGTCGAAAGGATCGTAGTCAATAGGGAGGTTGAAAGGACCATAATTTAGCAATGTAGGTTAGGGAGGACGGTTGTCTGGTGACAGGCGGAAGTCCAGCGTTAACAAAAAGTCAAACAAAAGTCTAGCTACGGATAGAAGTCCAAAGATAGGCATAAGTCCTACATTGGATAGAAATCTGACGATTGGTGGAAATAGGCGTCATGTAGAAGTCTGATGAAAGTATAGCGACGGGCCAAAGTCCGATGATAGGTGAAAATTTGGCATCGTGTAGAAGTTTGATGAGGGATAGAAGTATGGAATTGTGCAGAAGTCTAACAAAAGTCCAGCAACGAATAGAAGTCTGACAAAAGTCCAATGACATGTAGAAGTCTTATGATGGGTCGAAATTTAGTGTCGGGTAGAAGTCAGAAAAAATTTTGGCGATGGATAGAAATTTGACGATGGTAGAAAGCTAAAAGAGATAATTTAAGGGTGTGCTCCTAATAGTAGTTTAGCAAGATGCTGATGATGGATTATCACTAGTCTGGTGACACACTAATAGTGTCAGCTGAGTGGAGGCTTGATGATGATCAAGTTATAATTTTTCTTTAAAGGAGAAGTTATAGGAGATGCTTCACCATGTAGTAGAGTAGAGGTCAATAGAATCTACTAAAGATATATGACCAATCTTAGGTGGTATGTCAAAGCGTTGCGCTATGATGTTAACATATATAGCAGGAGTTAAGAGAATCCACTAAGGATGTATGACCTATATGAAGTTCTACATCATAGTGCTGCTCGATGATATTAACATGTGTGGAAGAAGTCGAGAGAATCCACCAAGAATTGTATGACTTATCCCGAGGTTATATGTTTGAGCACTGCTCGATGATATTAACCTAT